TGTATGTCCCATTCGATTAGTTTTTGATGCATAGTAATGGTGTCGTTATTTTGTGCAACATTTTTTTACATAGCGTGTAGTTATATGTTGACGCTATCTCATACTGGCCTTGAGTACTGGGATTGAACTCAAATCCTGTTCACGCACTTAGTTGGTCATATTACTCGCATTAGTGTTTAATTTGTCTTATTATTTGCGCTCATCTTTCGATGTCTGCTCAGCCCACACGCCACGGCTCACCACACCAGAACCCAAAGCTAGAGTACAATATCCAATGTGCAGTATATGTATTCCTTATAATGCTTGTTTGATAACATCATATCACCCACCCCTTCTACATCATTTTTATGGTGCAGGTGTCTTGTGGTAGTATAGGTATTACATTAAATGCGTGTTTAATAACATCCTATCACCCACCCCTACTACATCATTTGTATGGTGCAGATGTCTTGTGGTAGTATAGGTATTATATTAAATGCTTGTTTAATAACATCCCATTACCCACCCCTTCTGCATCACGTGTGTGCTTGTTGTAGTACAAGTAGTACATTTAATGCTTGTTTTATATCATCCCATCACCCACCCCTTCTACATCTTGTAGGTGCCGTGTCGGATTGAGAAGTTTGGCTTCGCTGCTACCAGCGCTCCCTTTCTCACAGCCACTGCGCACGTGGCCATTACCGGTCGATCAGGAGTATCCGTTGGACACTTGCGGATAAGGGAATGAACTAGTCCTATACAACTCCAATTGTGTTGCACAATCTGCGAATAAAAAGACCAAAATATCTCCTGTAACACTTAAAAGACACTCCATGCACAATTATCTGTGTATTCCTAAAACATGCAAAAGGCTATCCGTGCACAAGCATCTGACTTGTAGGCCCGATGGCGCTATAAGGCCAATACATTGAGGATAAATACCACCCCTACTATAGCGCAGTCTGTCTTGTTCTTGATCCCTTCGATATAGAGAGGCTGTATCAAAAACTAATATCAATCACTACTTCGTGGTTTATATATTCCGTACATAACTGTTCCTGTGTTTGTAACAATGTGTGCTCAAACACCTCCCTGGTATATGCCATGACCAAATATCTTCTGCACATACATGTACACACTCAAGCCTATGTATTCACAAATAAAGTGTCCTGAACTTTGTGTCTCTGGTTATTTTTTGGTTTGTGTCAAAAACTCAGGCATAGTCATGAGACCATGGCTTGGGAATCAATGTCAATTGGCTAAACACCAGGGATTGCGGACTGTTTCTTAAGTCTGTGTCCCTATTTCTATTCAATTGATACGTTGTTCATCAATCATAAACCGCATATTTCATACAGGTGTGGCATTGCTATCTATTCAATTAATAAGTTCCCTAGAGAGTCATTACCGCGTATTTCGTATATGTATTGCGTTGTATGTCTCATAAAGCCAAGGTTTGCAATGCGTTCGAATGGGTTTACAATCGTGAGTTGCATCATACATGCCTCTCAAAAGACTAAAGAGTGGCTGACAATGTTGATCATTCAGGGGGCTATGCTGACAAACATAGCCCTGTACAATTTAGGAGGTTATGATCGCCCCTGAAAAAGAAAGGAGGCCATGGACAGGGTGCACAGCAGTAGGAACCAGGTCATTCGTCCTGATTTTCACCTCTAAATATTTCCAAAATTAGCCGTTCATATTTTTCCAAAATGAATGGTTGCTTTTGGCAGATCATGATAATGCCAAAACCGGTGAGTTTCCAAAAACGACATTCTGGAGATGAGGTGGCCCTATGTTTATATTAGGTAAAATGGACTTTTGCCCGGCCCATATGTTCACACTAGCTAAGTAAAATGGACTTTTTCGGCTTTGCTAACCCATAAATTTTTGACTTAGACATTGAGATCGAAAGGCCTTGAGGAATTGAGGTTAAAGCCGTCGAGTTTTTAGGTTTTCACCGAAGGGATCGCGTGTTATAGCCAATACATCGCTTCAAAAGCCCCGGATTGTCAACCGACATTTTGGCTGAACAATATTTTTTTTCTAAGGTTTGCACCAAAAATTTAGCCGAATATTAATGATCTATAGGTTGCGCAGAGCACAAAACTGCACTCAAAATCGATTTTAGGTGATTAGAAAAAATGTTGTCACCCCCCGTATGTGGTGGTCCCTGGGAACGACCTGGTTCTTCTGCTTTGCTCCATTTGGAAATGTGACAAATCAAAATCGAAACCCTGAACCCAAATTTACAAAACCCAAGGCCCAAGACCCAAGACAAGACCCTCCAAAATCCCAAAGCCACTACAAAACCATGACGTTGACACTTGACATCATCATGGGCTGATACATACTCCATAAGATACATCCATCACCCCTTCTGTGGTATCTGTAATCTCCAGTCGATCGGATGTGTGGAATATTCAGTAATCAGTTTTATCCTCCACTTCTGAAGCGCTGTATCCGTCATAGCCTTGCTCGGGAAAGCGACAAGGAGCCAGAAGACTCTTGTCTGTACGTACGCTATCCCGTATATAGATAAATTCTTATGAGACTGAGACATATCACGACACCACTCCACTAACAGCCATACAATAAAATCGCATCATGCACAGGTTCAAGAAAGAAGTGATTACCATAGGAGCGTCGAATATAGTCAGTTCATTGCACACGCTGGAAGCCGTAGTAAAGCCTAAGCTATGTGTGTTTGTCACTCCGGGTAATCCTGGAGTCATTGACTTCTACCACAAGTACATGCTGTCACTATATGAAAGTGCTAATTGCAAGGTCGAGGTATGTTTCCACGGGTGTTTGATGTGCTAGGTGTTTGTGTGTCAAATTGAAGGTCTGCCTGATGCAGACACTATGAAACTGTATGTACCACCCCTGGAATACTGTATTGTGCGTGTGCCTGTACCGGGTTGTTTGAAATAGTTATACTGTATCCCATGGGGGTACCTATTATCTGCGGCAGGGCAGACTGGGGGGTTGGTATATGCAACATGCAACAAACTCGGTGCTCTCTGAGTAGCCTGGCTTTGCATTGGTTTCTGTCTTTTGTATATGTTAGAAACTATGCGATCAACCGAAGGTGATTTACTAACAGTACGGGCAGCTGTAGAAAGAATTTACAAGGGTGTATTCCTTAGTCGTAGTAAAAGTAGATATACTTATATTTATAGATTTTTAAACGACACTTTACTATATATTATTAGGATATGAAGGAGTATGAGATATGTTATACTAAATATCAATGCCACTATATCATAAGTTAGGAAGAAGCATATGTTATGTGATAACAAGTATAAACGCCACTATATTATATATTATAAAGAAGTGTGGTATATGTTATAACAAGTATAAATGCCACTATAATTTATATTATAAGGAAGTATGAGGTATTTTATAACAAGTACGAATGCCTCTTTATTATACATTATGTAAAAGTATGCGATATGTAAGTATGAATGCCTCTATATTACATATGAATGCCACTTTATTTCTATTATTAAGTATGAGATATATTATAATTGTATAAATGCCACTATATTTCTATTATAAACGTATGAGATATATTATAGTAGTATAAATGCCACTATATCTCTATTATAAAGTATGAGATATATTATAATAGTATAAATGCCACTATATTTCTATTATAAAGTATGAGATATATTATAATAGTATCCCCGCTATATTTCTATCATAAAGTATGAGATGTATTATAATAGTATAAATGCCACTATATTAATATTACAAAGTATGAGATGTATTATAATGGTATAAATGCCACTATATTTCTATTATAAAGTATGAGATATATTATAATAGTATAAATGCCACTATATTTCTATTATAAAGTATGAGATATATTATAATAGTATCCCCACTATATTTCTATCGTAAAGTATGAGATGTATTATAATAGTATAAATGCCACTATATTAATATTACAAAGTATGAGATGTATTATATTGGTATAAATGCCACTATATTTCTATTATAAAGTATGAGATATATTATAATAGTATAAATGCCACTATATTTTTAATTATAGAGAAGTATGAGATATATTGTCATAAGTATAAATGCCACTATATTTAAGTATGAGATATATTATCAGAAGTATAAATGCCACTATTTTAAGTATGTGATATATTATTATAAGTATAAATGCCACTATATTGAAGTATGTGAAATATTATCAGAAGTATAAATGTCACTACATCTTTATTATAAAGAAGTATGAGATATATTATCAAAAGTATAAATGCCACTAAATTTTTATTATAAGGTATGTGATATATTATCATAAGTATAAATGCCACTATATTTTTATTATAAAGTATGCGATATATTATGACAGGTACATGTGCCTCTATATTAAGTATCATAAAGAAATATGGGATATGTTATAACAAGTATGTATTACACTATATTGTAAATTACAAAGAATTATAGGATATCTTATGACAAGTATGAATGCTACAATACGACATATTACAAAGACGCGTGTGATATTCTATAATAAGTATAAATGTCACTACATTATATACTACAAATCGTACGAGATATTTTTTGACAAGTATGAAAGCTAATATATTTTATATTGTAAAATGATTATGAGATGTTTTATGAATAAATGCCACTACATTAAATACTGCACAGACGTATGAGATGTGTTATAACAAGTATGGGTGCACATAGCGTGTAGTGACTTGAAGAAGTCCCTACGAAACGTTTAAACGCATATATCAAATCACCTTTGGTATCAATTACACTTGTGTGTACTATTTTATATGACATGGATGAGACATGTTCTTAATACGTATAATCCACATCTGTGCCTTCTGAGCCTCTGGCATCCATGTATTGATGTTTGCATAGATTATGTAGTATGTTTATAAAGATGATGCGAGAAACTATCGATAGGGAGTTATTGGTTTTCATTTATATTTGTATACGTATATACGTATGTACGTATGTGTTCAGTTGACCATGTTTGTATTGTATTCATTCATTTTCATGTATCTTTGTATACATACATACGTATTTTAGGTGTGTGGACTTAGTCTGGCGGGCCATGCACCTGGCCTCGACAATCAGGGCCGCCTGTTCACATTACAACAGCAGATAGAACACAAAGAGGACTATCTGACCCAGAAATTACAGGCCAATCCCGATTTAAAGGTGGTCCTAGTTGGGCACAGTGTAGGTGCATATATCATGCTGCACACATTAGAGAAGTTGGCCCCCGAGCGGGTAGCTGGTAAGTATCTCAGTGATTGGATTTGTGGCGTTATGTAGTTAGTTGTGCTTGTATCTGAGGGGTTCTTTGAACGGGGAGGTTTGGGTGTGCGTATTGGAAACTCACTTATACATGCGGGATGTTATATAGATCACTCGTTCTAATGATTGTGTGTACCCTGGAGTTGGTGTGCAAGTTCTTGCCTTGTAGTTTACGTATATATATATATATATATGCGTATATAATATATATGAATATATATATATCTATATCTATATCTATATCTATATCTATATATATATATATATATATATATATATATATGCCTTTGATCAAGAGTACATTCCCATGCATCCATGCTTTATTCTCCTCTCTCATTCCATATATGTCTACCCCCATACCTTTGATCAAATGTACATTCCCATTCATGCATCCAAGCTTTATTCTTTGTTTAGGCTATTGGGGACTATACCCGACGATACAACACATCGGAGCATCGCCAAACGGAGTCAGACTGACACCGCTGTTTGAGTATGTGCCGTTGACCTGCGTGTGGCTGTAGCTGTTGTACCTAACGCACACGTGTGTGTGTTTATTTATTTAGTTTATTTGTCTATATCTATAGCTTGTTTGTCTATATCTATAGTTTGTTTGTCTATATCTATAGTTTGTTTGTCTATATCTATAGTTTGCTTTGGTTCATTTTTGTAGTATGTTTGTGCCTGTATTTTATTGTCAGTTCGTGTTTATTAATTGAGCTTCGTTGTTTCTATATACACATGTTTCTATATTCTATTACTTATACAGATACGTGACTTCTGGGTAGATAGTTCTCTTACCCTTCTCTGTGACTGTGTGTGGCTTGCACTAGTCATTCTTTGTTGCTCGTTCGCACATCCTTGGCGTATATATACACCTAAACAATAACTACTATTTCATTGGTGCTCCGCAGATGGTACAATCTGATTGGCTACACCGCCAGTTGGCTCCAATATCTGCCACTGAGAATCAAGAAAACTATAGTCAGGCCTTTTGTCAAGAGTGGAGAGGTATGTCACCAATACATTGCCTCCTTCAGCTGTACAGTACCGTGTACTTGTATGTCACGGCACTTCTTATGACTTCGTATAAGTGTATGCATGTCCATGATAACATCGCATATGCACATATCAATCGTCCTGATTTCATCACAAGAAGCCTAATGCTCTCTCAACTTACACGTCACGTCTTATAACTACGTTCAAGTGTACGTATGGTTATGGGTGCTTGCACATGGATCACTAACTCACACACACACATGCTCTGTGATGTGTGTAGGAGACCAACCTGGATGTGGTAGCTAGTCTCATCAACTACAGCACAGCCGCCAATGCTATCTCAATGGCGAAGGAGGAGATGGCAAACATCCTGGATATCGATGAGAGTATCATCCATGACCATGGAGACAAGGTATGTGCATGTACATATACATGTACGTGTGCATGTACATTTACACGTACACATGGCAAATGGTTTAGGGGTTAGGGTTAGTAAAACCATATATGTTTATACATGCAAAGTTTAGACATATGTTCATGCATAGAAGAAGTGGGTATGTGCAGACAAAGATCAAAGCGCTAGTAGTGTTTGTAGACTTTGGCATGATTCATTGCGATAAACTTGACTACGTACATTGCTCTCTATGATCAGACTATAGCATATAAATACGTTAAAAACGATGGCCATGTGTATTACGTATTTACACATTACAATTTTTATAGGCAGGTGACTTTCTATATACATTATGCTTATACACTTTACCATTCTCTTGGGCAGATGACGTTCTTCTTCGCAGAAGGAGATGAATGGGCTCCCGTGTCCCACTATCACGACATGACCGAAAGATTCCCAAAGTCACAGTAAGTATTGTCCTTACAATACACACGTCCTGTGTTAAAACTTTACTTTACATACATCTTATGTTAAAATTTGCTTTACATACGCCCTGTGTTAAAACTCTGCTGTACACACGTCCTGTATTAAAACTTTGTTTGCACACGTCGTGTATTAAAACTTTTTTTACACACATCCTGTGTTAAAGCTTTGTCTACACTCGTTCTGTGTTAAAACTCTGCTGTACACACGTCCTGTATTAAAACTTTATTACACACGCCCTGTGTTGAAACTTTGTCTACACACGTCCTGTGTTAAAACTCTGCTGTACACACGTCCTGTATTAAAACTTTATTTTCACACGTCCTGTATTAAAACTTTGTTTACACATGTCCTGTGTTAAAACTCTGCTGTACACACGTCCTGTATTGAAACTTTGCTTTACACACGTCCTGTGTTAAAACTTGACTCTGTGGAGAGTTTCAGATCATCAATTGCGCACTCGTTTACGCAATCGTCTCGTCGCTGCAGGACTCCAGCACCGTACAGCCCTTTTAAACTGCACCTGTATTCTTCTCTTTTGGGTGCGCCCTATATTTTGTCGCTTTGGACCACCCGCGGCCAGTTTCGGGTACATGTAATCATGTTTTTATGAACCAGATATATATACCCGAAAACCTCCCATACGTGATTCGTTGATGAACTGATACTTTCATATATATACACACACATGCACAGAATCCTGCTGTGTGAGAACAATACTCACCATGGCTTTGTAGTATTCGATGAGGAAGCCGACTTGATGGGCAAGCTGAGCTGCGCCTGGTTAGACCATCTGCTTTAATTGGGGGTTAATTAATTTAGGATGCTCTCGAATTAATTTGGAATACATACGAATTAATTTCGAAGAATTCGCTGGCGAGTACTGGGCGAACTGAGCTGCGCCTGGCTAGACCATTCACTATAACAAAATGTGAATCAATTTGAAATACTAACGAATTCTTCTTAATTAATTCTGAACAATGTCCTACCGACATAATGGGCGAACTGAGCTGCACCTGGCTAGACCATTCGCTTGAACTAAGAGTGAATCAATTTGGAGTTATTCGCCAGTACTATATCTGCGACTGACTTAATGTTGAACAATTCCTCAGGGATCAACCAACGCGCGAGGGAGCACTGACAGATGTGGCTGATAATAGCCGTGATGAAAGATAATTAATTTAGTGACTGTTTGGACAATAATATATAAATGTAGATACAGACACTACAACTAGATACAAATGTAGATACACACACCACAACTAGATACAAATGTAGATACACACACCACAACTAGATACAAATGTAGATACACACACCACAACTAGATACACATGTAGATACACACACCACAACTAGATACACATGTAGATACACACACCACAACTAGATACAAATGTAGATACACATACCACAACTAGATACAAATGTAGATACACACATCACAACTAGATACACATGTAGATACATACACCACAACCAGAGTCTCGGTGCGTGTGTTGGGGAGTATGGGTTCAAGTCCCACCATCCGTGACTTAAGGCTTATCCCTAGCTAAAACGGGAACAGAGATGGCAATAACCATAGCAACCGAGATCCGTACTCTTGTAGTCTCTACGGAGACTCCTCGAGCAGGCATAACACACGGTGTCAGGTGTGTGCGATTCGTTTTTTACGTTTACGTTTATGTGGTGTATGTCAGAAGATTCTGTTTGTTTATTCACGCGTATCCCGTCGCGTTATTCCTATTCCTTTCCGAACACATCCACAACCACCCCCTCCCACACACTGTCGCTAGTGTTGGTCAGCTGGCACGGTCCGTTGTACTCGACGTCTGCGACGCCCTTCGCATCGTCTGCTACAAACACATCATGTCCCTCGAGCACAGCCACCAGTACGTCCTTGTCGATGATGCGCTTTTTATTGCCTTCGGTGCGAAGGTTCTTAACTGCTGTAGACGGCGCTGTGATCTCTAGCTTAGTCCAATCGCCTGCGGTGTGATGTGTGTGTGTGTACACGTGTGTGTGTGTGTGTGTGTGTGTGTACACACGTGTGTGTGTGTGTGTGTGGTCGATACATAAGTGTGTGTGTGTGTACAGTCGGGTGGCAGTCAAGTAGGTTCCGGCGAATTGTACCACACAGGTTCACCATATACCAACCGGATTGACTCTCATGCCGCTTAGTGTTGCGACAGATGTGCTATTGTGTTGCGGAACTGATCTTGTCGTCTATGTAGTAGCAGACAGACCAAGTAACAGCACACAACCCCTCACAATGCGTATTAAATATGATCTACAAAACTTTGGACCCTCACCCAAAAATACTACCAATAGGTGCACTCCTCAAAAAAAAACTAGGTTCCCCCCCCCCCAAAAAAAAGGGCTAGATGCACCCCAACAACACCCAGCGTATCGCATGGTATCATGGCATAATAAGCTGAATTCTGTAATTTGCTTCTCTCTGAAATCACATAGCCCTTCTCAGTTGTCAACCATCAGGCCTACCTGACACATACCCTTAACCCAACACTCACGAAACATACCCATAAACCAACACTAACGAACAATACCACTAACCCAACACTCACGAAACATACAATGAACCCAACACTCACGAACTATACCCTTAACCCAACACTCACGAACAATATCCTTAACCGAACACTCACGAAACATACAATGAATCCTACACTCACGAAACACACCCTTAACCCAACACTCACGAAACGTACAATGAACCCAACACTCACGAAACATACCCTGAACCCAACACTCACGAACAATACCCTTAATCCAACACTCACGAAACATACAATGAACACAACACTCACGAAACATATCCTGAACCCAACACTTACCGGCCAAATGCACCACTACGCGGGTCAAGGGAGCGTCTGTACTCTTGTATTGGGGCAGACTAATTTTGTCACCAGGTTGTAACTTGTATGTGAGTCCTGATCCGAAATGACTTGTCGCTTCCAAGGGAGATACACGTCCACTATAAGGGGATGTTAGACGTGGCTCAGTAAGAAAGTGAAAAGGTTTATATATATATATATATATATATATATATATATATATATATATATATATATATATATATATGTGTGTGTGTGTATATATATATATATATATATATATATATATATATATATATATATATATATATATATATATATATATATATATATATACTATACTATACTAACTATACTAACTATA